GTGAAATTTTTTTGGCTCGACTCATCGGTTAAGGACTCACCCCACTTAATGCTCTTAGCCCGTTCCACCCCGCGTTTTCCACCCCCACTATAAGTCTATAATATGGACAAGAATCAGCGTGACTGAAGGGAAAAAGTATATCCCATACACAAAATTAAATTACCCATGGGCGCAATGTCTTCGTCCTTCATGTGACCCTGCCCCACTCTGTCCCCCTTCAACACTATTCAATCCCATTTTGCTTCAGTTCTTCGGGTTGAAACTTGAAACACACCCATGGCAACAAAATACCTTCTTTTTCCCTCTCTCTTTCTTCTCCTTATTTGCTTTCAGATCCCCAATGCCACTGCCCAAGTCGACAATGCTAGCCTCCGCCTCATGACTGAGACTCTCGAATGGACACTTCCCACCATTCTGCATAACGAATCGAACCACAGAGAAGAAGAAGATGATGATGAATTGAATCGTAGATCATTGTACTGGAAATCACGAGCACCAAGGCGTTACTACATTTCGTACGGAGCACTCTCTGCTGACAGAATCCCGTGCCCGCCGCGCTCTGGAAGATCCTACTATACTCCCAACTGTCATAGAGCTAGAGGGCCAGTGCATCCTTACACCAGAGGCTGTTCTGCAATCACACGTTGCAGGATGTGAAAATCTGGAGAAAAGCTTCTTCTTTTCAAGCCTTTTTGAGTTCTATTTTTCGTAATTATTATCGTCTTTTGTGGTCAAGATCTGGTGGTTAATTTCTTTTTTTTCAACTAATATTATCTGATAATTTAAATTTAAGTTGTTCAAACATTATTTTTATGTGATCAACAACCATTTTTATTCACAATTTGTAGGATCTACAGATTGTAAACACTTAAAAATCAATACGAAAAAAATAATAATAATAAACGATATTATAATTGGGAAGGATATTCGCAAAGGCCCTTTTGTTTTGTGCTAGTAAAAATCTCGCATCTTTCTCACTTGGGGGCTTTCTGAAGAGCATTAGACAAGAATCAAAATCAGGTAAAGGCAAAATTCCAAATTCCTATATAAAACTTTTTTTGGTGTAGGATATATAATAATTTAATTTTATTCGACGTTTAGTGCAAATAATGCGGGACTAAATGAATTTGATCCACAATGTTGACCATATAAAATAAAAGGTAGAGACATGGGATTGAGTTCTCGATACTCATTACAGACTTTTGAAATAATTGTTATGCTCTAGTAGTATCATATATATATATATATATATCATTTCAGTCTTCAAGCGACATTGCCAAATAAATGAACATGTTCCGATAGAATGTCTTTGGCGAAGCTTGCATCCGAACTTACAATGTGTCTGAATAAGGAAGCCAGAACACAACCCTTTGAGATCAAGAAGAATCTTTTGTAATCTATTTCTGCAAGGAAACCTGGTTGCACAAGATAACAAACTTAGGGAAGGAAAGAAACCTATCATAACTCTAAACGATGACTTGTGCGAACCAATGAAAGTACGACGAATGGGTTCGAGCTAAACACATATTGCCTTGTTCCACAAGAATCCTTTTTCCCCTAAATACAATACACAGGTAAAGAGCATTACGCTCCAATCAAAACTCAGTTAAATCTATGCTTACTTGTCTATCCATGTCCAACCCACTATAACTTGACCGTCAGAATGTCCAGTCTTCTTGGTCATGGTGAACTCCGTGCCTAGTGATTCGTGTTCAAGTGTACAAACAGAATTTTTCCCCTTGTACAATTATTAATGGATTGTAAAATGTACAGCCCTAACTGATTAGCGTGGGCCCCACTAATCATTTTACAGTCCATTAAGGACTATACATGCAGCATCTTTCGTACAAATAAGTTGGCATAGACATTACTAAAAAACTGTTCACAGTAGGAGCAGGATCGGAAATCTGTTGACTGCAGGGTTTTAACAATTTTCGAGGTCAACATAATTCTTATCTAATTGAATGACAATCTAGATTGAAGACAAACTAAACAACAGCTTTTGAGGATGAGCAAACAACTAGTCCAATTGTCAACTAAAACCAAATACATAGCTCAAGAACATATTTAGTCATACACATCATTTTCAAAATAATCCAATGCCGCAATAATGAATACAAATTATTCTCACAATTCAGACATATACTATTATCATACATAAACAAATACATCAAATTATGACTTTCCTATTGTCTCTTACTCCATATTCTTTATCATAGTTCTAAATAATTACCAATAGTTCAGGCAAGTCAGCCATGATCCAGCCTGTATGTTCTTTTCCCTAACTGGGAAACCAAATAAGTCATGAAAACCGCGCCACGAGTGCGCCATCTTAGCTGTCCATTCATCCTCTTCAACGAAATAAAGAAAAAGAGACAGAACCCTTTGCTTATTGTACTCCATCATCAGTCGTATGTACACGAATTCTTTAGGGAGATTGGAATATTAAGTTTCTTGGGATCAATCACAATTGAACATTCGATCTTCTTGTAGAACTTCGGCTTCACTAATTTGCCCAAAACATAAGCTTTCGATCGAACAGTGAACTCCAATTTCAATGGCACCTTGAGGGTGGTCGTCCCTGTTGGCGTGCTCAAACTAGCTCCACTTCCATACATCGGAATCTTGTCGCCAATCACAGATACCACTACATTTCTTTGACTCTTTCTTGATTGATAGAATTTCTTCATCTGTAAAATCCCATATCAACAACTGAATTAAAGATCAAACACAATTGAACAAGGAGGCAATCCCATTCCACAAATTACGATACTTTTAACAAAGACTTATGGGGCTTACATCTCCAGAACCAATGTTAAGCTGTGAGTAGGAGACAGCTAGAGGAGTCGATGTAACATGGACTCCAAAAAATGTAGCAGTGTTTCGGAAAGTGAATTTCACGGTGGCATTCATGGACATCATATCAGTCGAAACTCCAGTATTATCCGAACCAGCTTGAACCCCGAATCTTTCAAATGTAATGCTCTAAAAACCCAATTAAAAACTCATATCAGACTAAGCACTTCACACAAATGGCAAAATCAAATCGATATGGTATACCCAAAAACTTATCCAGAATCTAGTAAAACAGATGGAAAATGCACACAGATTGTAGAAATAATGTGAAAGCGTCTTGCATATATACAGAATCAAGAATATTCGTATACAAAATCTCGACATACTAATGAGAATGATCCGAAGTGTATATCATGGTCAACACAAAAAAATCACATAATAGATCTCTGCAATAACTTTGAGCTAAAATTTCCAGAAATTATGATCTGCTTAATACACACCAATTAAAATTCAGGAATAGGTAATATCGTATAAAGTATCATCAATTCGAAGAACAGCCAATTGAATTGTTGAGAATTTAGAAGAAATTAAACGAACCTTCATTGTGATCTCGGGCTTTTGAGGTTTACTAGCACCCCACAAAACCAAAGCAAAGAACGAAAACAGCACAAAAAATCCGACAACAAATGCGAGAACATAGCATCTCCTGGGCAAACCCTTTCTCGATTCTTCATCTTCAAGTAGCCCTTCTTCTTCAATCACATCGATCTCTTTCCAATTCTTCTGCCCTTTCCTCTGCCCCCTGCCGCCGGTCCCAGATCCGGCTTCGTTAGGTAAAATCTTCCTCGATCCGGGCTTCAACGAGCCGGAGAAGCGGCTAGTGGAGGATTCCCGCGAGTGGCGGCCCACGGAGGAGTGGGAGTGAGGAGGGGACCCCATTGGGCTGCCCAACACTGGAGTAGAATGGAAAGACGTCGTTGTCTTCTCTCCATCATGCGAGTCCCTTGATGGGCTCTGCACGTAGTACACTTGGCGACGATTATGATCTGGGGAAGAAGGGGCCAAGCTGGTGACTTCAGAATCAGTTTTTGCATGCATTTTCAGTGAGATTCTCTCAGTTTCTTCACTGAGGAAAATGACTCGAGTCTGTGAGAGAGGTTGGGTTACGCAAATGTTTGGCCAAGCTTATATTTTATCAACAAAAGTAATTATTAAAACTTACTTATTTACTAATTATAAGTTACAACTAATTTTTTATTTTTTCTTAAATGTAGTCACCGACCGTAAATAGCCGAATCTAATTTGCTGTCTCCTACCAGGCATGGAATGCACCGTGACAGATCAATTACAGTTGTCAACTCTTACTTTTTTGTTAGTATAGATTTTATTGCGCATTCATCCCCAACTTTATAGAATAATAGCATATTAGTCCTTGACCTTTTTCATCTCAAACCCATCTCCCTTCCATTTATTAGCAGAATTCACCGTGATAAACAGTTTTAATTAAGATTTCATAAGAGTAAAATAAAGAAATGATCTATTGAGCTTGTCATGGATTACATAACGCATCAATTTAGTGGTGAATAACAAATCTAATTCAAGATTTATTAGACTTATTCACCAGTATTATAAAAAACGCGTCTAGGAGACGCCTAGCTCAAAGATTGGCATTCATGGCTTTTAGATTGATTAAAAGTTAAAAATAATATTAAACCAAGAAACTTTTTTTACGATTTTTTACATCTAGGCCTTGCCTAGCTCAAAGCTTGGAATTCACGCCTAATCACACAGTACGCTTATTAGAATAATGTTATTCACTAGTGGATTAATGTGTCATATGCTCACTCAGAATTTTAGAGAATCTAATTTTAAATTTTGATGGTTTTTCCTCTTACCCAATGTTTAAGTGAAAAAATGCAAATTTCAATAAGCACCAAATTGCCTTCTAAACTCACAACTCGTACATAAATTCTTTGCAAGTGAGAGTGTGGCATTGGAATTTTCGATTCCTCAAAACTGATATTTGCACAATATACATTTGTAACAATAAGAAGAAAAACATATACCCCTTCGGGGGTGGTCGAGTTGGTGGAGCAGGTGAACTCGGAGATCAAAGGTCACGAGTTTGAATCCCCTGCCAACACTTCCCCGATCGTGCTCGTCGCACCGGGCTTGCCTAGTGCGGTTTACCTCTCATGTGTGGTTTGCGAACTACTGCACATAGAGCGAGGTTTACCTAGTGCGCATTTACAATGGCCGAGCCTCCGTCCCTTCGAGGTGGTTGGGAGCTCCGTTGGCGGGTAGTGGCTGCGGATTCCTACGTTAACACAAAAAAAATAAGAAGAAAAGCATGTCAATTAATCAATGAATATCACAAAGACAAAATATACAAATTTCAAGTTGAGCAAACAAAGAAATTTTTTGTACTTAATTAGATAACTAGATGCAAGTAAATTTCGATTAAAAATAGAGTATTTGTAGAAAAAAAATTCAAAGTTAATTATCCAATATAATAAATTTTCAAATAATTCACACTACTAAAAAGTTCATCATAAGCAAAAAGTAAAATTAAAATAAAAAAGATCTATCAATTGGTTGTGATGCAGTATAAAAAAGATTGAACATCATTGTGATCAAAAGGGGTCACATTTGGATTTCCTATCAGAATAATATAATTTTAATTAATAAATCAATAATTAGTTGCTAATATATTACACCTTAACAATTACTTATAGAAAGTAAGATGGGAAAGAAAACAATTTATAAATACATACTCAACCCCAGTTTGATTCCCATCTTTTGAGATAAAATGTATTTATGGAATATAGATTTTTTGAATAATATGTGGTTAAAAAATAAGTGATTATTTTTTTTAAAATACGTGTATAATTATTTTATGGGAGAATGTATGGTCGAAAATGAATTTTGAAAAAAATGTATTCTTAAACAAAATGAGACTCAAACAGGGGCTCAATATGTGATCTGTGAGTGATGAATTACGAATGGCAAATTCATAATTGAGGCTCGATGAGTAAGGGAGTTCTCATATAATATTTCTCATTTATTTCCTTCCTTTGGTCTAAAACTCTTATAAATAAATATCAATTCAAAGCAAAATATTTATATTATGGACAATGAAATAATTTATAATTATGTATTTGTTTAATAAAATATTCAAAGATTACAATTATGGATTGAATTTATTATTTTCAATAGAATTCTTTAGGAATGCAATATTATTTTTAATATGTAATATTGGGTTTGAAAAAAAAAATTTAATTGTGCAAGTATATATAGTATTATTATAATTTCTTTTAATTGTATGTAATAATGTTTTTATTAATTGTGTATTAATAATTAGTAATAACATTGTTTAGTAAAAATTAATTGACTTAATTCTTGAAAGCAATAATAATTATTAATTATCTTATTTAGAGGAAATAAATTGAATATTAAGAGTATTGTTCACCAATCACCATCAATGTAAAAGTAATGCGAAATTGAAAGTTTATCACCTATTCACGCTTGGGTTATTAAAAAAGAAAAATGTACACCTCATGGTGTAAACACAGCTTTACACCCCCCTCACTTGGAGGAGGGCCCACAAATATTTTAATGTGTGTGGGCCCCTTCATGTGAGGGGGGTGTAAAGCCGTGTGTACACCATTATGTATACATAGCATCTCCCATTAAAAATGACTTTTTGTTTTATAATTTATCAAATTAATGTAAATTAATGGTGATTAAAGAGTTGATGGGTCATTAGAAAATGACTTTTCATCTAATACTTATTAAGTGAAGGTTAGTTAATGGGATTTTTTTAATTGTTATGTTTTATTTTGAATGGGATCTTTTAAGATTGCAGATTCTTTTAATATGTAATATTAGGCACATATATAATTTTTATTTTATTTTTATATAAGTTTTTATTTAATTATATACTGATAATTAGTAATAATAGTGTTAGCGGAAATTAATTGACTTAATTTTAAAAAATAAATAATTTTAATGTTAATAATAATTGTATTTAGTTGAAATTTAATTTTAAGGATATTATTGACCATCAACATAAAAATGTAAGGGTAAATGAAAATTTGAAAATATAAAGATAAATGAGAGTATATTGGACCTATAACTAGAGGGTAATTATATTACCACAACAAAATTTACTTGTTACACTACAATTTTAATCAGTTTTTTTTTTTATTTAAATCAATTTAAAGTAGAATTACTTAATTACTCAAAATTGTATATAAATTCTTAAACATTTTTCCTGAATACTCCACAATTTAAGTTGTTGCTTCTCATTCAACTGACAACTCCTCTGCTTGTACCACCACCACCACCACCACCTCCATCTTCTTGCTCGACATTTTTACGAAGAAGAGGAATCCCTTACTGAAAATGGAATGACAAATGAGGAATTTGCAAAAGGAGAAAATCATGTTTGTATAAACTTTTTCTATATGCATAAACGTCGGTTGCCATTTTGTAAACTCATATTTCCTCATCAACTGTCAAATTCTCATGGCTTTTAATTTCATGACTATAGTTTTGATGCTCTAACATTTTGAATTATCAGGATTAATCGATATATTTGTAAATTCTAGTTCTTTATGTAAAATTTCCGTGTATATAAGAGCATCCTCTCCTTTGTCTCGGTTGGAGCTCCTAAACTTGATTGTTTATGGAACCATATAAGATATTTATTCTTCTCCTTTTGCTTTTGCTGAATCTGGCAATCTTGAGCCTCTCTTGATATTCAAGTTCCTTAACCAAATTTAATTTCTTTCATTTTGATGATCTTGCAAAATTACTCTTTACTCGTTATTGTCCATCCCGGGATAATTGATGGTATACTAGGAGCTGGTTATCCAATCATTTGTTGCTGAGAATCCTTATGAACCAGGCAAAGAATCCCTTAGTAGCAACCGACACGGACTTCCTTACAGATGTATATAAGCCTTATGAACCAAGTAAATTAATCCCATAGTAGCAAAACCTGTGAACCCTAGCAATATCTAGGTATAGTCTAAAACATGGTCAATTTAATTACAACTTTTTAGGATGTTAGATTAAGTAGATTATAGGTTACATCAGGATAAAAGTTTCACATCCATTATTACCTACACTCAACATTGTGTACTGTATTGTAACTTAAAAAAAGTAAACAATCTCAAAATGATAAATTATTATTGTCTGTACAAATTGGCCAATTTCAATCTATCCACATGATGAGTCTTCATATACCTCAAAACTTAAACTTGACATGTCTTGATATTTTAACAAATCAGTCCAAGATATGACTTGATTTAGGGCAAGGAGATTTATCTAGTACCCTTTATCTTACTCCTAGGTGTAAATCATATAGTCCCAAAATAGAATGAAATTCTTTGAAACAAAATTAAGAGGAAAATGCGAGAGAGGTTCCTCACACGTGTTGGGTAGAGTTTTTGGAGAAAAGAAGGGGTTTTCAAAAATACGATGGTGGGAGCCGACGCTCAATTTAGTATTAAATTATTTCAGATGCCATTGAAGTAAAAAGGACAAAAAAAAAGTCTCGAAATCATAAATTCTTATTATCTAGACAAATCAGTCAATGTAAATATCTTCGTATACATTATTACTGACCTCAAATCTTTAACATAACACAACTAGACAATTTTATCAAATCAGTTGACGGACACGACTTGCGCTGGTCAATTTCTTAACAACTTGTGAGTTGTAGAGCACAACTCACTTATCGTGTATCATGCACTCATAATGTAGAATGAAAAATATTCGAAACAAAATTAAGAGGAAAATGCGAAAGAGGTTCCTCACATGTACGGTGCAGTTTTTGGAGAGAAGAAAAGCTTCTCAATAATAATATGGTGGGATCCACAAGAAACGTGAAACCATGTTAATTTCAAATGACTTTTTCTTTTTGCCCAAATACGTATTATCCTTTGTTCCACAGCAACGAATATTCTTGCTTGCTTGCAGTCATGAATGGAATGGAGCTTAACTTCAGAAAAAAAAACGTATTTTTCTATCAATCTCTATTTTTTTATTTAAAAATATAATCTCAATAATGTTGGGTAAATCTATGTTAACTATAAATATATGAGACATGCTAGTTCTACAACCGAGATTGACAACATCGATTGACAACCACTCACATGGGGGGATTCGCTTTATTTTTATTTATTTGAATTTTTTAAACATGCGGACCCCGCACACATGTGAGAGGTTGTCAACCTCGATTGTACAAATAGAATTTTTCTAAATATATATTGTGCGGATATGCCATTTGTATTCAATGCGAATTTTTTTTTTTTAACAACCCTTAATCGCTAACAGATTTCCGTTTACGCATAGTCAAAAAGGAGAAAAGAGATTCTTGACTTAATCCTAAAAGGGTTGAAGCTCGATCATTTATATACATGTGATCAATGGTCACAATCATCTCTTCTCATCTAACAATCGAGAAAGTCCCCCCAAAACTTATAGATGCTTGTATGGAATCATGTCATTAATTGTTCCTTTGCAGCGTCTAACATATCCTCGAATGACCAGCTAGTCGACGCTCTTACAAAGCATCTATCAGTAGCCAAATTTCAGTCCCTACTGTCCAAGATCAGAATCTCCAATGGAAACTCCGTCTTGAGGGTGCCTCTTAAGGATAAGATAGACGATAAAGATGCCTTTCAGCTGCAATAACTTCACTCACCAATGTCGATAATTGAAGATTGATCCTTTTCTCATCTATTGTAACTTAATATACTTGTTATGCACTATATACACGTACATAAACTCGTTTGATGTTTTTTAAAAATATATGTTTTCCGTGATGATCCATGCTTCGTTTGTATTTATATTATCCTTGTACGAAATTGTGATTTCTATCACAATGTAGTTTCATTTTCTATAAACCTCACATTTAAAAATTCCTTACAATAATTGATCTCATTATCACATAATATCCCTAGTTGATATCTGATGCTACCAAAAATCGTACCTGGCTGTTTTTGATCTTGACGACTGTTGATGAGCACGAACGTGATCTTTTGATACCTGAAACGAAGGCGATGAGGTATGCCCTCGTCGCCCCTCCGATGCTTAAGTCAGATAGAGAATTTTGTGCGTAAGGCTATATGCTGTAAAATAATGTAGAACGTACCTGAAAACTGAATTGGGAGCCCATATTTATAGAGCTAGGTGGTAGAGTCCTAGTAGGACTGTGTAGTTCATTCCTGATAGAATTGTAGTTGATCTAATGCCCTTATCTCTAAGAGTCCTTCCAGAATTAGTTTTCACGATAGTCCTTAATGGGGTAGGACTCATCTTCCTATTAGACTCGACCCCCTAGGACTATACCTCGAGGACTTGTTAGTAAGTGTCTTGAGATGTGGTAAAAGTCCTCGAGGACTATTTGAGTCTCGAGGACTTGACAGCAAAGATATGAGCTGCAATAGATGTCCTCGAGGACTTAGGAATCCCTCGAGGCCTAGACGCCTCGAGCACTTCCATTCCCAGAACATGAAAAGAACGCTGGGTGAAGTCCTCAAGGAAGGCCTTGGGTCTGGAGGCCTCGAGAGAAACCTCGAAGTTGGCGCATGAAGATAATCCTCGATCCCGATAGGCCTCGGTTAGCCAGAATCTACCATATCAACTCCTAATTTTAAAGTTCACATTTCATAAACAACAAACTTATTAAAATATTTCAAANCCACCCGAATACATATCAAGGTCTTTATTAGAGATTTCACAACATTTTAAGATTAAATAAATGATCACCAAGTCGTGATCATAGGGGACACAACAATAGGACTCCTCACAGTATACTTTCCATTATCCTCAACCCAAATTAGTGAACCAAATGTAATTGCTCCTGAACTGTTCCCCTGGTAACTTATAGTTACAGTATAGCTCAGACACTGATATTTCTCTCCAAACACCAACGTTGTTGGGTATACATTAACAATGGAACCTTCTGGTGCTGTCACTTTAACCTTGTAAGTTGCGGCTCCATCTCCAACATTCGTAACGGTCCTCTGGAATTTCTGAACCAGCTTAGTGGTTCCATTGGTGTACAAGGCTATGAAGGATGGGTAATTGAGGTCGGAGGACGGATTTGAGCAAGTGTACTTTGATCTTGTGATGGTCGTGATTTGTTGTTGAGTAAAATTCATCGAGCAGAGTAGATTGATGTAATCTTGGGGACTGGCATCGTATATGAGTCCAGGATTAAGGGCACCATTTGGATTAACCTGTCCTGCTCCCATGGCTAGAGGTGTAGCGATTTCGTTGTCTAAGCCCGAATCTAGAATGTAGTGCTCCGTGTTATCAAATGGGCTAGCAGTTGTAATCATGGCGGAACGAATGGCGGCTGGAGACCATTCAGGGTGCGCGCCTTTTAGAAGTGCAGCAATGCCTGCAGCATGAGGGCATGCCATTGATGTACCAGAAATCATAATATAATCACTAGTTAAAGCAATATTGCCAATGTATGCTATTTCAGTATCTGGAATCCAGGATGCAAGGACATTAGTTCCTGGCGCCATCACGTCTGGTTTTAGGACGCTGGGATAGCTCGGGGCAGGGCCACGTGAGGTATATGAAGCCACCACCGGGGCCGGTTTCGCCCCGAAAAATGTTTGTTGGAACTTGATGCTGGCAACAGGCTTTGCACTTTTTGTGACATAATTGATGAGAAGTGAAGCATCCTCGGTGCTGATCACGACTCCAGGAAAGTTAACAATACTGCCCTCAAATATTTCATCTGAGATGAAGATACCAGCAATAGCTTTTGATTGGGAGACATAGAGCAGTTGTTCAGAGAACGAACCATTTTCACATATGACTATCCCGTATCCAACTGAAGACAATGCATTTGTTGAATCACAAGAAGAAATTGTTTTGTTATAAATAAGAGGTGCATCCTTGACAAGGGCTGGTGCAGGGAACCTAGTCCATCCCTTGGTGGACAGACCATTCCCTAGAGTCAATGTTCCGGCAAACGAACGGTCGATCGAACCTGCTGCCACTGTCAAAACCCATGGAATTCCGTTGTGTAAACTTCCAATATCATGTTCATTTCCAGCTGAAGAGGAAACAATTACACCTTTCTCCATTGCACCAAATGATGCTATTGCTATAGGGTCTTGATACAGAGGAACTCCATCGAATCCCATCGAAATAGATATAACATCAACACCATCAGCAACAGCTTGGTCCATTCCAGCAAGAACATCAGAAGCATATCGCCCTTCATCCCAAATGACCTTATACATCGCCACGTGAGCACGTGGGGCCATCCCTCGTGCCGTTCCCGAGGCATAACCGAGAACCGAAGCTCCCTCGATGTAATTTCCAGCAACCGTGGACGAGGTGTGTGTGCCATGGCCCTGAGTATCCCTTCCAGAGTTCATACTCAATGTTATATTAGGATTTGTAGCTATAAGTCCCTTGTTAAAGTACCGGACTCCGATAAGCTTTTTGTTACACAGTGATGCCTTAAATTCCTGTCCCTCCTCACAAATTCCCTTCCACCTTGCTGGAATATCCTCCATTCCATCGTCATTGTAGCTTAAACTCTCTGGCCAGACTCCGGTATCAATCACCCCAACAATTACATCTTTGCCATATTCAGCAGCAGGCCATAATCCTGTGGCAGGATTTAGGGAAAGGAATTCAAAAGTGTGAGTAGTGTCAAGTGTAACAACTCTATCACTATAAGCTGAGACAAATCCTGGTGATTTCTTAAGAGTTTTGAGTTCTTGTTTCGACAAAACAGCACTGAACCCATGAAATGCATTGTCATAAGTATAAACTAGGTTTGGTGGGTTCTGATGCTGACCATTGGATGTGCGGCTAACAAGTTTGAGGGAATCAACTATGGAGGAATACCAGTGTGTGTGGTGTGAAAAAGCATTGGGCATGAAAGACTTGTCCATGTGGACAATGTAGGTTGATCTTTCTCCTGAGACTAAAAATACCATAGCAGAAAGTGTAAACATGAATACTAGAGGAAATTCCATTTTGCAAAACTTTTGCTGTGCCGTGTATTGGGCTGTGACTTCCATATATATACACAAATTTTAGGGCTTGACTTTAACTCTTTAGAGATGAGAAACTTCTAATTATTTAAATTTCATAACACGACACTTGACACGCAGCCTGGATTCATTTTCTCACCAAAGGCATATCACATGATCAATTTTCATATATAGATAGCAACGAGATTTGATCATCGGGACTTTTGTGTGATCTGAGTATGGGACAGTACAATAGACAAAATTTAACTTATTTTTCTTCCTTAATGCTGTCCATCGTGTTACCGAACTAGCCTTTGTAAGTATCAACACGACTTTGGTTTTCTATTGTTGGCTCCAATGTTCTTTCTTGGTAAATGCTAGCTGGACGAAGGAAACTATGCCAAATCATTGATCAACTCGCCGGCCTGTCAATGTATTTGATTCATAAGAAAATGATGTCTGGTTGTACAATTTTCTGAACTATTGGCCTGTTTGATAGAAATTTTATCTTTTTGGAAAATGCCGATTACTACAAGCTTGTTCAATTCCATAGGGAGCCCATTTCTACCTTCAATGTATTCGAAGACAATGATGACAGGTTTAATACGCTGGATTCGGAAATACCAATAGTTCATAATCCAATTCAGCGTACCAATCATTCTGCGCTGAATAATTGCAAGTTGGAGATTTTGGTCGCGAGAATAAAAAGAAAAACCCATTTCAAAATGGCAAGTTATTTAAAATTATTCTAGTACAATGGTCGAAATAAGAAACAGTCCACTCCTAAAAGTAGACATTTTATTATATACGACCTCTTCTTTTCTCGATTAAATCTTCTTCTAAATCCTAATTCCCTATCCTTTTCACCCTTGGCTGCCTTTCCCTGCCAATGGGCATTGGTCAACTACTCCTTGAAAAGCCTCGCGATCGCCCATCCAAGCGAAAAGATGACAGACACAAGGACGCACGCGAAGAAGTGATATGGATAGGAAAAAAAATATAAAACAAAGTGGAAAATTTGAAATGATCCTCGTGTTCTACCTATAAACAATCAAAAATAGATTTCTTCATTTACAGAAGGGTCTGAAACTACGAAGTAAAATGATTTCTTCTGTGATTAAATAAATATATTAGATGGCAAGTCAAGCGATCATGACAGGATGGCAAGCAAAAAGGATTGTTTTTCTTTGTCATTTGATAATGAAAGACGACCAATTTTACTGGCTTGGACATTTAAAACATATGTTGGACATAAACAAGATTAGGAGAAGGAAACATTCAACTATAAATTTCCAAGTACTCTTATCTTGGGACAGAAAGAAAAGAGAAATACATGCTAAAGGATAAAATCTATATCGATTAAATATCTAAAGAATAACCAACTTATAATGGTATAGACAACTTATCTTGATAAGGTTGAACTTTTAAAATAAAACATGAAGTCTTAATATGGCATCAGAGCCTAACGAGCTCAAATGAGCATTTTGACCCGTTATAATTTAGAGTATGAGATTGGTATTATCAAACGAGCCATCAACTTGTCGGGGGCATGCTAAGAGTAAATCTCACATCGCTAAAATACCAATCTATAACCAACTTATAAATATGGAACATGATTAAAGAATAAATATATCTAATGATATGTAACGAGCGATCATGTTTAATCATATCTAGTTCATCGCTCTTAAAAATCAGATTTTTGAGATGGTAAAAGTCGATTTCTATGCGTCAATCCAGTACTGTCATTCTAATATTTTGAGATATAAATGTAGAAAATTATTTAGCCATGTTTGGTTTTGCAAAAAATCAGATTTTTAATAAATACCGGTTTCTTCAAAAGACTGGTTTCTTTTTCTTAGAAATTAACGTAGTACAATAAAAAACAAGTGCACCTTATGAACTCTTGTCCTTTTCTTTGCCTATGTCTGCAAGTAATTGTCTCCATCTTTTGAATAACTACCCAGGTCTAATTTTCCTAAAAACCTATTCAGCCTCCCAACAATTTTTTTACCCTCGTTTGGTCCTCGTTATTTTCAAAATACATTTTTCAATAAAATAATATTACATGCAAACTCAAAACTTTTTCTTATTTTTAACCACCATTCTACGTCAAATCACTATTCCAAAATGCATTTTTGTCACAAAAAAAAAAAAAAATGGGGTTCAAGTTAACGTAAAATTTTGGGTGGTATAATCATGATTTATCTAATGTTTAACTATATTATTTAAAAGTTTAACTCATTAGAGAAAATATTGTTGACTTGAAACTTCCATGTATAGACCAGATTCATTTTTTTTTTCAATCGAAAGCATGGCAAGTACATAATTCAAGAACTGATGGTAGACTTGAACTCAAGACACTTTTCTGGTCTAACACAACGTCGAAAATTGATAACAACCAGTAGATATAGCAAGCAAATAGAACTTAGTTACTTCTACTAGAAGCTTAATCCTTTAGAGGGGATACATTATGATTAAATCTAAATTTGAAAATTATACATATATCTAGAACGATGTTTGGTGACTTGTTACTATCATAAATTTTCAGCTGTTATTGACTTCAAGAAAATTTTCATTTTTAAAAAATATGGCTCGTCTAAGAATAAATATTTATACAATAGAGTATTGATTATTGCTTGATCCGTGGAGTATCCAAAGGTCTCCAATCTACATAATTTCAATAATTAGTTCAAATGGAGTTAGGCTAATGAAGAACAAAAAATATTCTAATATTTGTTACAATACTCCAATTATTGGAAGAGAGAGAGAGAGAGAGAGAGAGAGAGAGAGATTAATGTACACATGATAACATTTATTGCAAGAATAAATTAGGGGACCAAAATCTTATAGAATGACTTTAAGAAGTGGACAATTAGGCTAAAGAAAGGAAATACAGTAGATATTGACCTAACCTCTCTCTATCTTTAATTGACAATGCTGAGTGATGTAAAGAGCCTCTTTCTTTGTGCTCTTTGTTATGTCTATTTGTAGGGCTTTCTTCGAATTTGTTTATGGACAAGTTCAATTTAATTAATCTCGACCATATGGAGTGAGTTAAATAGTTCGACTTACCGGTGAGAGGATGGATTGAATGAAGTGTAGAGGAAGAGAAAAACTATTCACATGACGTTTAGATACAAGCCCTTATAGCATAGTTAAGTCAATCAACAAGCCAATTGCACGGCACTCTACACGCTAGCTTAATAAGGGCAATAAGTAAATAAATAAATAAGTTTTAGAAATTATTTTACTGGATGAACATTCAACTTGTATTTTTGAATGTTTTGAGAATGAGTTCATGTTGTTTCTTCAGCGCATCTCCAGTGTATTCTATAGATTATTATCTAGTATTATTGATGTCTCATGAATAGACACTCAAGTCTAAAATGGCCTACAATGCATTCTATGGATTACTATTCAGGTGTCTTAAATGCTTTCTGCAGATTGTTTAACTGAGCTTCTTCATCTAATCGAACTCTGCACATTGTCTATTTAATTCTTTGTCATATCAGTTTGATGGTGTCCTTGTCCACTTGCTTTATCTATTTTGCTTATTTGACAAGTTTTTAAGTAATTCACGGTTGCATTGGAGATGCTCTTACTTTTCAATTTCTAGCCACTAGCTTTGGTCAAACCCTCTTCAGACGAATAGTAATATGGTTGCATCACTCGTTTGTTGGGGGAATCGTTGTCAAACGACCTTCCGAGCCGGTAAAATTTATTCAATTGGCATCGACCAAATGACTGAACAAAAGTTGACACCTCAATGAAATGACTCGACCCTAAAACTATTTGGATTATTGGAAGTAACCTAATTTAGTTAGAGCTGCTCATGGCCTGTTGCCCTGCTTTTTGGATGACTTATAATTCTTGGCCCATTTGTTGACGGACTTACCGGTTTGGGCTTGTCCCATCACTACACCTAATGTGTTCTTTATATATATGTTGCCTCCTTGCTTGGTTAACACATCGTGTAATTCTTTGGCTTTTCATTTGAGAGAAAACCGATGCCTTCTTTGTGATTTGTTTATGTCGTTTTCTGTTCTTCTTCACCTAGACTGCCATTACACCTTCCTGAGTGTGCCCTTTTGTGGGTAGTACTCAAGCAACCGAAGAGGGAATAGATATAGGTTTTGGGTCGTGAGTTGAGGTTGTCAATCGGTTGGATTCAACTGAGCCCGGGAAAAAGGTCATTGGTGATCAATCTTCCGCTTTACACCGCTCATGGGCGGACCCGGGGGAGGGGGGGGTCCTGGGGGCAGGTGTCCCCAAACTTTTGAGATTCTATTTTTTTTTTTTTTTTTTTTTGGGTAAAACTTTTTTGATGTTATAAGTACAAAATTGGTTTATGCAAATACAAATTAGATTTGTTTATTTTATTTTT